TTCAAAATTTCTTCAAGATTACATTTTACAGGAGTAGGTGGAGTTACAGGAACAACCGCAACATGGACCTAGAAAAACAGGAAAGCCATTTCCAGCTTCGTTACCCTTATTTCACCGCTACTCCAAAATATAATTCAGAGCGATATTTACCATGTCGAGATCATGCATGAAGATCGATTTGGTAGTTTCTCTTGCTTTTGTAGACATATGCGTGCGGAAAAGAAAGAAACTAAAAGGTACCGGTGTTTCAACGTCGTAACAAATGAAGACCAGGCTCGGAGAAAACGTGATATCTAAAATAGGTTTGAAAAACAAACTTGGAAGCATAAATGGGCTCATGGGTCTGCTTTGCAGTTCGTTTGTACGGCAAATCACGATATCCAAGAGATTCAACGCCCTCAATCACAGCCCCGTGATTCAGCAACGTCTTTCCAGCTCTTACTAACGTTTTCACAAGATCTGCCTGAACATTCAAAGAATACGCGCATTGATCCAATGACGAAAGAACAATATTATAAAGCACTACGGTATAATATATTCATTTTCTTTTGAAGTAGGAGAATACTCCATCTCAAAATAATGGGGCACGTAAAGGTATTGCTTCCCCCAAAGGAGAGGCACCCTCCCCGGTAAGACCGAGCTCATGAGTCGGGCGACGGACCACAGCGATGTGAGGCGATCGCGATCGTCGCCTGGCTCGTCGCACTATGACGTCGGTCTAATGGTCATCTCTTCCTACAAAAACTCTCTAGGCGGGGAATTTCGGCAATTGACAGCCCGGTTCTTGGGGATGTCTCCACGCCTGCATGTCAATCACGGGGATATGTTCTCGATTGCATGGCAACCGGGGAGATATCCCCGAGAACCGGTGAGTGTGGCCTTTCCCGTGAGTTTCCGGGGAGAGCATACCTTACAAGGGAGGGTTCCCTCTCCTGTAAGCATACCTTACAAGGGAGGGTTCCCTCTCCCGGGGAACATACAGTCGATATCTCGAAGTCTGATTGGGCGTGTCACCGGAAATGACGTGGCAGCCACCGCACTTGATAGAAGTTGCGCGGATAAGCTGCTTCCACACGCTTTGCTGATATCTGCCGGAGTATTTCATCCACACACCCCAGCACTATTGCACTACCACAACCTCAGCAGGAATAAAATGGGTCAATTTTTTGCTGAAACTTCCCCCATCGGGATTATCGAGGGCTTTGATCACAAATATGACATCAGCTTTTTTGCGCTGGCGCCAAATTGGCGCCAGGTGGCGCCACGAATGACCACCAAATTCGCTGTAAACTTCTGTATAGGGGTTATTTGGGGCCCTGATTACGAATATGACATTCGTTTTTGTTGTTGGCGCTATTCGGCGCCTATTTCCTGCTCGTCTGCGCCCTCGCACTAATTAGATCGCAATCAGGACTAAGCCTTTGGAGAGTGAGGACTCCAAAGTGAGTAAGCCACTTCTCTGTGATCTTACGCAGAAGGAATGCGCAAGATCGCGACATCACCCGCGATTATGCTGATTTCTTTCATTTTTCCCCCATTTTCAATCGCCAATTCGCTAAATAGCTGACAACACCTGGTTTTAATCGACGATTAATTCTCACCTTCGATAGAGACCGCGTGATCAGTGAGACTTCATATGGAGGCATTTTCTAAAACGATTAAACATCATAAAAGCATATGGACTGGAAACATCATTCTCCGAATCGGGTAAACATTTTTTAATCCACTCAAAAGGAAGGGTACGCTCGGAAGAGCTGAGAATTGGACCTTTTGTCAAGTGGGTGTGGTTTACTAGGACAAAAAGCGACTTTTTCGCGTTTCGCGCGCGAAACATTTTTCGCTCCGGGAACTCCAGGTCCGCTCACTGATCGTCTTGGCGCATCCGAGCGACCGTTCGCGTAAGCGAATCGCTCGGATCCGAGCGTTGCGCCAGCGAATCGAACGTTGCACCAGCGAATCGAACTTTGCGCCAGCGAGTCGAACGATGTACCAGCGAGTCGAACTAGGTACCAGCGACTCAATAGTGGCGGGACCCCAACGTTTAAGGGAAACCCCGCCACTTTCAAACAGTGTCCACTGCAAAGTCCCGCCACTTTCAAACAGCGTCCACTGTCACGTGACACTGTTTGAAAGTGGCGGGCTTCCTTTAAACGTTGGGTCCCGCCACTATTGAGTCGCTGGTACCTAGTTCGACTCGCTGGTACATCGTTCGACTCGCTGGCGCAAAGTTCGATTCGCTGGTGCAACGTTCGATTCGCTGGCGCAACGCTCGGATCCAGCGATTCGCTAGCGAATCGCTCGATTCGCAAACTATGACATCGGCCTAAGCGACACGCGGCAAAAGTCACACTTCTAACTTACCGACCCCTTGGTCAAGTATACATAACGGAACGTGTTATCAATTCTAGCACATTCCAGCCACATAACACACGTCAAGATTCGACAGGAACGCTCCAAGCTAAGGTCCCCCGATCGTACTAGATGCAGCAAGGGTATCCCGAGACTCCCTCCTCCATCGATATTTCGGTCCGCCTCCCCCTAGCTAGTAGCTCGAGTGACCATTCTGCACAAGCCCAAAGTATCAGGCCCGCCTTCTTCAGTTTCCTCTAATATCTCCTTGATAAGCGGATGATTTCTATCCAAATTTGTACCAACAATGCATTGTGACGAATATATTGGTAAAATAGAAAAGAAAAAAAATCTTGGGAGTTATTTTGCAACTTTTTTCTAAAATCATGGCGATCCAGAAGTATAGGTAGACATCGGCCACCAAACTTCCTGCGCAATATACTTGATGCAATCTCCAACCAACAACAATCAACATTAAGCAAAATAACAATGCTCTTGGAGAACTTGATGACTCGGTCCATCGGCAAAATCCGCTCCCAATCCTCCCTTTACGCATTTTCAGCCCGCTGTTCTCGGTTCTCCAGCTGTCCACAGTCTGCGCCGCTAAAAGTCGAGCTAGATGCCCGCATCATATTCTCTACCGCTTACAATGTCACGAGATTATGCGCCTAGCCCTAACCGGGAATGAATGACTGTTTTCTTTCTTTAGACCACTCCATTGACTTTGAGGCACTCACACCATAACCGCGGCCGTTCTTTCGCATGGACATTTGAACTTCACCGAATTCAACATGCTGCATCGTACGCGCACCAGAAAGCGATTTTGTGAGGATGTTCCTCTGTAGCCCGATGAAGTCGTCAAGCGTGCGTGATACCAACACAAGTTCATGCCTTACGGATTACACCGTGTTCAGCTTCCCAAATGAATGACTTTGAAGGAAGTTATGATCGTTTGAAGGTCAAAAAGTCGCGGTTCCAAAAAAATAGTAACGCAAACCCCCAAAAAAGTAACAACGGGACTAATTTTTGAACTACTGATCTTTCAGGAACGCTTGGGTGCTCCTTAGAAAGCTTGAATCCTGTAGTTTATTATACGTGTTCAGCTTCCCAAATGAGTGACTTTGAAAGAAGTTATGATCATTTGAAGGTCAAAAAGTCGCTTTGCACAGAAAAAAGTAACAACGTACTAAATTTTTATTAAATTAACTTTCGAAGAATTTTTACCTATGGTTGGAGAGAGAATAATTTGAATTTTCCAAATCAAATCACTTCGGCGCTGAAGCTCGAATATGAAGGAAGTTATAGCCTTAGAAAGAGGGGTGTAAAAATTGTGTTGCAATTGAAGAACGTGAAGGATTTCAGTATTTCAATTGGAGCGATAATTTTTTCTGACTTCTCATAAGTTTTTATCAGGTAATATTGTCAATATTACGGTCACTGGTTCAGCTTATTTCATCTCCTAGTTTGGTAACCCTTTGGAGTACACGGATATCTTTGAATGCATCTCATTTTTTCGTGTTTGCAAGCAGCGATGAATTTCTGTCGTGGATTTTGCTAAAGTTTCATCTTTAATGACTTACGTAGAAATAAATATTGATGGTAAACACTGTCTCTACACAAGTGTTACATACCAAAGGGGGGGGGGGTCCCGTGATCAAACCCCCGCCTGAAGGGGGGGCGGTCGTATAATGTATGCTATACGAAGAGTAGAACGGGTGTGGGTACTTAGGACAGAACGCGACTTTTTCGCTCTTCGCAACGCGACATCGCGCGGCAGGCTGGCGCACCCGCAGCGAAAACAACTACGGTATGGAAGAACGCGCGATTGGAGCACGATATTTGTGTCGGCTTTGATTGCGACAAGGAGTTTGAAGCTTAATAGCCATGGATTTGATAATGAACGAGGAAATGGTAACCAGAAGTGGACCGCTAACTAGCAGTGAAGAGGGAGGTAGGTTATTTTTGCAGAGATGGATGGTAGAGCTTCTGGAGAACCTGGAAGAGGAATGGTTGATGGACGTTTGATGAGACGACTGTAAACTTCTGCATAGGGGTTATTTGGGGCCCTGATCATGAATATGACACTCATTTTTCACATTCGTGCTGTTTAACGCATACTTTCTGCTTTTCTAAGCTTTCTCACCTACAGCGCCTACGACTAAGCTTAGGGGAGGGGAGTGAAACAGACAGAATTAGTGATTCACCGCATTATCAATACAATGGGTGTGAGCGCGGGCAAGTAAGGAATCAGAAACTTACAAATTCACGCATGCAAAAAAAGCTGCTCCAATCGCGCGTTCTTCCATACCGTAGTTGTTTTCGCTGCGGGTGCGCCAGCCTGCCGCGCGATGTCGCGTTGCGAAGAGCGAAAAAGTCGCGTTCTGTCCTAAGTACCCACACCCCACAACGTAGGTTGACCCTGCCCCCTACCCCCTGAATCGGCTACACTCCCCTGGCTCACGAATTTCCTGTTGCCGCACGAGCGCGCGCGGCGACTGCCCCCCCCCCCCCCCCCGAGGCCCATTGCGCCGCGTGGCTTTTCTCACATCGGGCTGGCAATGGTTTGCCAGGCGGCCATCGGGTCCATCCCAATAAAACTTCTTTTCATCCGAAAAAATCACTTGGAATACCACAGTGTATGATATGATATTACATGCGGAAATCGCCAGTGCCTCATCCCATTGATGAGTCCAGCTTACGTGTTCCTTAGCGAATCGTGCTCCATTATGCGCACTCGTCAAACAAGGGTCAGTCGAAAACTGTCCTTGAATGATGTGGGGACATGGTCTGAGCACACGACGAAGAGTCCTTTTTGACACATCGTGTGCTACTTCTTGCTTAGACGCCACACACCCTATGCGGAATTGGACGCACCATTGAGAATCAGCGCTTCTGCCTTCTTGAATTTGCTTTCCTAAGTCTCCCACTCCTTTTTCCCGTACCGTAGGGAGTCGATGTTGTTGCAGAATTTGCTCACCAAGTTGACTGATCGTCCTAATTTCCTTGAAATGCTGCGGTGGCTGAGTCCCATATCCTTGTAACCCGAATTTGGCCTTTCTCAAAGTCGTGTAGGTGCATTCCTCGTGGCATGGCACTGTAGAACAAGTGTGGTAAGTAGAGCAGTGACAAATTGGTTTCACATTCACCCAATTCAGAAACATTGCAGAAGAACCGAGTGTCCCTATACTTTGGGGAAACACTGTATAGACTAGCCCTCGGAGTAGGAGTATTTCTTTCGTTTCGCTAAACTCACTCCTAACCGCTCTTGAATCTAACCCATTTTTCCAACAACGCCAAAGGAAGCGTCAGAATCAAATGTTTCCAGGCTTCATGCCCCCCCCCCCTTACTGGATGAGCGCCTGTTTCCACAATGAACTAGACTAAAAAGTGGACATCTTGCCGTAAAACCCGACCTGCATTTTTTGTACAGACTCCAGGGTAGGAAAAACAAAACTTCGAAAGTTTCTGATCAGAGTCAGAACCATGACGTGCATCAGTAGAGAAGGGGATAAGCTGACACTTTGATAAACTTAAACTAGACTAGATAGAATGGGCTTAAAATATCCAAAACGTTATGCACTGCTGAACCAAACCTTTATTAGGCGTTATTTGCGCCGTGTCGTTGTGGCCGGCACACACTACAGCTAATCTTACAACGAGTAGAGAAAAAGAAAAACTGGCAGAAACTGAGCCGATAAGCATGTTTCTACGTGCGAATTGATTCTCGAGGTCTATTAGAGTCCGAGGGTAGGAGGTCTAAGCGTCAGATCCTGTTTGGCTCTTTGCACATTTACAACCCCAGGATTGGGTCAAAAAATAATTTTCGCTGAAACTTTTGCTATGGGGGTTATCGAGGGTCCTGATCACGAATATGATCCATTTTTGGCGCCAGCTGGCGCCACTACTGATTATCACCAAAATTCGCTGTAAACTTCTGAATAGGGGTTATTTGGGGCCCTGATCACGAATATGACACTCGGTTTTTGACATTCGTGTTGTTTAACGCATATTTTCTGATTTTCTAGGCTTGTCCGTGGTGTAGCGCCTAGACTGAGCCTTAAGGGAGGGGCTGATCTCCGGAAGGGTAAACCACGCACCGCGTGTGGCAAAAGTTGGAGTGTGTTAGACCACAGGGGAGTGCCCTACTCACTTTGGAGCCCTCCACTATTCAAAGGCTTAGTCCTGATTGCGATCTAATTAGTGCGAGGGCGCAGACGAGCAGGAAATAGGCGCCGAATAGCGCTAACAACAAAAACGAATGTCATATTCGTAATCAGGACCCCAAATAACCCCTATA